AAAAAAAAAAAAAAAAAAAAAAAAGACGAGATGGGCACAGGCCACAAGTCACATCACCTGGGTGCTGGTCCCAGTGATACGTTACAATGGTCTCTTTAAGAAACACCCTGAGAGGATAGACACACACCGGGTGGCTGATCCCAGTGATATGTCACAATCTTTTATTTGTGCACGGTGCATGTAGGTGAGGAGAGTCACATTTCTTAGGTGATGGATGCCAAAACAGGTCACAAGGCCGTCTGTGGGGAGGGCCCAGGCAGAGTCTCTCATCCCCTAATGTCAGATGCAGTGATATGTAACAATATGTAAAATATGAAAGGTTCAGCCAAAAGATGAGTTACATCATCTAGGTGCTGGGCCCAGTGATACATCACAATTCCCTTGTGGCAAGGTACAGGCTGAGGAAGAGTCACATCACTACCTAGGCAATAAATAAAAAGTTATTTCGTAACAGTCTTGTGGCCAGGGCTTATGTGGAAGACTCATGTTACCTGGGTGGCAGACCCAGCTATATGTCACAATGCAAAATGTTTGCAGGGCACAGACAAGAGAAAAGAGTTCCATTATGTAGGTGCTGTGCCCAGTGATATATCACAATCCCTTTTTGGTAAGAGTTCAAGCTGTAGAGGAAGCTTCGCATCACCTAAATGCTGTATTCAGCAACATGTCACAATTCCCTCTGAGAGGACAAGCCGGGAAGAAAAGTCACATCACCTAGGTAAAAGACCCAGAAATATTTTATAATGCTATCTTTTTGTAGGACTCAGGAAGAAAACAGGAGTCAGATAACGTAGGAGCTGGACCCAGCTATATGGCACAATCACCACAGTAGGCAAGGCCTTGGCATGAGAGGAGAGTCACATCAGATAGGTGCTGGGCCCAACGATATATAACGTTTCCTACTGTGGACGGGTCCAGAAAGATAAAAAGAGTCCTATCATTTAGGCGATTGACCCGGAGATATGTCACAATGATGATTTGGGCAGGAACCAAGCAGAAGAATCACATCGCCTGTGTGCTGGGCCCGGCAATAAGTCACTCTCACTTCTGTTAGTATGACCCAGGCCCAAAGATATATTATAATCTAACCATGGACAAAGTGAAGATGAGAGAGGAGAGTCACATAAAATAGCTGACGGGCAGAAAACTCACATCA